TAAAATTTTTATGAAATTATTAAGAACACAGGACTGCGATGAGAGCGGTATTCGTTACTTGTCACAATTAACATTTTCTTCATAAGGCTAATTACAAATCTTCTAGGTCTCTCCTGAATCGGTTGTTTATAAATAAAACTAGCTGACGTTTCGCGAATCATCCTGGTGGCTTCTTCAGAGCTTAAGTGAAACTCGCTCGCATTCCATTCTGTACGCACTTATATACTGTTTGGGAGAGACGGAGCTTAAAGAGGGACATGAACATTGTCTCAGATTTCCATATTGGTGAAAGACAGAGTCGCGGTTAAGATTGTTTGGTTGTTTAGAGATTTCTATGGATTCACGGATTTTTACTTGATTGAAGAATCTATTACTTTGATTGGCTGATGAATTGGTTGATTAATTTTTAATTTGACTGCTTATGGGTTTATTTGTCGTCGTCGTATATTTTCCATTCTGTCTCTCTGGTTAGTTTTAACATAGCTCTTTCTTATATTGCAATCCGGGAATCTGGAATCAAACACTCTCAACCGAAATGAAAAATGCTTGTCTGGAACACGTTTTACTTATAACGGTCAAATTTATGAACAGGAACAGCTGTGAGTTCTCCAGTATGATTAGCGAAACATCAGCAAGTTCGATTTATCTACCACCGGAGGAAGAATGCAAAATATTTGTAAATATTATTACATTAGCCTGTGAAAGTTTTCTATAAAAAAAAATCTTCAGAACACTTTAATTTTTGTATATTACTCAACAAGTTTAATAAACGCCATATTAGTTTATTTGGCACGAACGGAGCGAGTGCTTAATAAATGAGTGACTAAAACAAGTTACCTTGCGTACCTTGACCTTAGAATTGACAAACCAAAGCCCTGGCTAATATATCTGAAAACACCCGATAAATCCCAAACCCGTGAGTAACACACCGGAAATAACCGCTCTCAGCCGCAGGGAACAGAACTGACGTCTTTAAGCGACACTGTGAGTCAGCTCGATCGGTGTATAATTGGGTATTTTAGAGAAGGAAGTTGAAAAGGGGATTTTTTTTATGAATTTGAGGCAAAAATTTAGATGGTATCGAAGTAACTAAAGAGACATTTTTTATATCGAGGCAAACGTTTATAGAAAATATGTCGAAAATTACATAAAAAGATACTTTAGTGTAGAGGTTTATACACATTTATGCACTTTGGGAGTATATTCGCAAAAAAAATTGTTACGACTTACGTTTAGGTATATTAAAAAAAGTAATATATCAAAATATTACCCATTTTACTCTGTACTTGCATGTATATGGTTTGAGGGGGGGTGAAGTTAAATGAGGGGCATAAACATTGTCTCGGATGAGTGATTCCCATATTGGTGACAGGTAAAGACCTAAGTCGCGGTTAAGATTGTTAGGCTGCTTATAGGTTTCTACAGACTCTCGAATTTTTCGTTGGTAGAAGACCATTAAATGCAAGAATTTTAGTTTTATCGAATAAAATATTATGTCCGGTTTCGTGATTGTGTTCGGCAACTGCTGATGAGGTTATTGGTTGGTTGGTTGGTTATTGGTTATTGGTTATTGGTTATTGGTTAAGGTCTTAGTCTTAAAGCTCTTTCATGTTCTTTAAACCTAGTTCACATTTTTCGTCCGGTCTCTCCAACGTATTATTTGCCGCATATCCATGGAATGCTGTAAACTCCTGGCATCTCAACTGGAATTTTGTCTTTGACGGAGTTTTGGACAAGTCGTAAATCTGGATTTGACGTCATGTTTCTTAAGAACTTTTGATTGAAGAAAACACATTTTAATCAAATAACTTTTATCAAAGTTCAAAATGTTACTTTTCACATTTATTTTGGTTTGATTAAAGCAAAAGTCAAGAACTTAAATCGTTCAATAAATTGTGTAAAATAGTTTTTATATGTTGCTTACTTTAATAGCGATATTTTAATATTAATATTAATATAATATTATTAGACGATAAGATCAAAATACTTTATTGTGAAATTCTTCAGATAAGTATTTAGCAAATGACCTTTAAATTTGCAAATTCCTTTTCCTATTGTATTAGACAACCATTTATAGTAAATATTTCTATAATATAAACATTTATGTTAGATATTGTTAATATTTTGAACACCGCTCTAAATAGTATTTAGCACAAATTATGGAAAGAAAGTAGTAATTCTCAAAATTTACCCAAAAATTAAAAAAAAATCCAGAAGTTATTGCGAAGCTATAAATGCACAATAGAAAAATGAAGAGATTGTTTATATATATAAGAGATACCTCGCAAAATAACATTCACATTTAAAATTTTACGATAAAATAATATGATTTTTGTAGATTTTAAATCCTTGACCACACATTTCGAAAATAAACTTTTCCTGATTATTTCATTTTTTAATAGGAAAAAAAAAGTCTTGTATCTTGTAAAAAATCCAGAGACTGGGTCTCGCGCCTCTAGGAGGTATACAGTTGAACTAACAATATACAAGAAATTTCAGTATACTGTGATCGTAGCGTCCTTCTGAAAATTTTAATTTAGACTACTTAGACCGTATATACACAGTTTCTATAACGTTTCATCCGGGCGTCCACAAACTCTATTTTCTAATTCAATGGAATGGCGAGTTTAATTTGTTACAAAATTACAAAACGTATATTTTGAATTTCGTCGCGGAATAAAATAGTTAATTTGGGAACAGCATGTTCAGTATATGAATTTTTTGAAAATGAAAAATAATTATGTCCGAAACGGATTTTGAACCTTTTTAATCTAGAAATACTTTGAAACAAAGTTAAGAGTTTTGGGTTTTAATAATAAAAGTTGCAAAAAGGATTTTGCAGGCTATCTTTTACCTTTAAAGGTAGAAAATGCGACTTTCGCATTTTTTTTTAAACGAGTAGTGTTGCAAACGCAAAAGTACCTAGGGTGTTTTAATTTTCAAACTAAACTAAAAACTAATAAATCTGTTATTTATTATTATTATTAGTGTATATCTTAATTGAAATAATAATAATTTCATTTATTTTTATGTTAGTAAAGCAAATACTAAAAACTTGTCTATTTTTTAAAAATTATTGTAACATTTCTGTCACTTATGAGTTTAGTTTCCGGACGTCCTATATATATGTTAGAAACTTCAACTCCACGTTTATTACGATACCTATCCAAGTCATCATATACACTTTTGCATCAGGAGCAGCGCTAATTCTTTAAACTAGTTTCTATTCAAGTATCGAGGTCCTGAAAGTCAGTATTAAAATGTAGGCGACCCAAATCCATTACTCAATCGGGCCGATCTGATGAAGTCCAATCACAATCACCATTTCAATTAAATAAACCCGTTTGAAAGCTATGCGCGCCTGTGCTTCTGCTGCAGGAGATGTCGAGTTGGACCAGCTGCGCAGGCGACTGCGCGAAACTGAACTGGCGATGGAGCGCGTAGTCAGGCAGATGACAAGAGCCCCGCTTGTCACGCAGGTGCGCAGCTACGCTTTCACAAGTTTGCCAAATAGCTGTGTTTGACTGCTGCTTCCGCTTATTATCCCAACACTAGATATTTTCTTCTAGAATTGACTCACCTTAAAAAACAAGCGTTCAGTTTTGCAGTTTGCATTACCTAAAAAATTAATTGTATCTAACCGTCACATTCTCCATTTTTAATTATTCTGGGATAAACATATTAGTCGATATTGGTAAAATGCTGCGTCCTATTTATCCACGTCACTGTTCGTAGTTGTTAATGCAGTGTCCGCAATTCTGGAAGAAGTGGACCAAGAGATTCAGGCCCGAAAGAACAAGAGCAGGGAGACCTTGAGCGAACAGGTCGGCCATAACACGTTGTGAAAAAGTCCAGTATTTTTTGATTATTTTGACGCGGTTTGGCAAACCATTTTCAATGTATAATTTAAACTATCTTTTTATTCTCCACATTACGTTGTCGAACCGTTGACTGACACTAAACTAAAGGTTTTGTGGCGACGCTTTATTTTCGATGTCATATAAATTATAGGTGTCGTAACAAAACGATGACGATCCTTTAGAATTTGTTCAAACTACGGTTATTTTATTTATTTTAATAATTTTAATATAGATAATTCCAATAGCAAAGCTACATGGATCTTTATGTAGTTTTCTCTAGAAATGGTTTACCAATCCCCCATATTGTATGAATATTCTAATATTTGCGGGCTTCTAGAGACTGCTAATGCTTTTTTTAATAAATAAGTGTCGCACCTGTCGAGTTATTTTTGCCTATGCACCGTTAAAATTTATCTAGCCTAGCGTCTGCTTGTTAAATTTTATTGCGCTTCGGTTTGCATAGTTGGCAATTTTCCCGTTTAATTTATTTGCCTTTGCTTTTCAATAACTTTGCAGTCATCTATTTTTTAAAAACGTAGTAACAGCTAACGAAATTGTCAAGGTGTATATTTCATTTTTGGGCAGAGACATTAATTGCTTTCTTAGGTGTGTATACCCCAAGGGCTCAAATGGCAATGGCCACAAATTTTATCCTATTTAGTTCCTAAGTTTTGTTTTTTTCACATTCTTTGATAAGCATGTATCCATATTGTACACATATTGGTCTAGTCCAATTTTTTATACTTAGGGTTGTTGTAAATATGTATGACTTCTTTGCGATTGGATATTTTTCCCAAGCAACGCACTAACCAAAACTAATTATCCACATTCTTTGCCGACGCTAGTATTTATTTAAACTAAATTAAACATTCGCAAACTATCTGACAATCTGCCGATAGATACCGCCTTAGCTAGTTCCAAACTTGCTTTAAAGAATATTTATGAATTATATTAATTTTTATAAACAAGGATAAACTTTTTAAATATCCGTCTCCAACTTGATATTTCAAAAAAATGCAGATATCATTTAATAAAAGAAGATATGGTTCTTAATTTAATTCATTTAATTATTGATTTGTACTAAAAATGTTACTTTGTACAGCAGTGTTCTTTTTTACATTTACACAAAGAGTACAAGTACAAAAAGTTGCATAGGAAAACAAAAAAAATTGTATTGTGCGCGTTTATATATATATATATATATATATATATATATATATATATATATATATATATATATATATATATATATATATATATATATATATATATATATATATATATATATATATATATATATATATATATATATATATATATATATATATATATATATATATATATATATATATATATATATATATATATATATATATATATATATATATATATATATATATATATATATATATATATATATATATATATATATATAAATATATATATATATATATATTTATATATGTATATATTATATATATTAACTTTCGAATTTTTTTTGTAAAACGTCGATTCAGTAGCACCGACGGTTGAGATGATGAGACTTTTTTTCATAAACGCCGTACTACAAACTATTAAAATAATCATCTATGGTATTATATATACCTAAATAAAGCTTTAACGCTTTAAATGCGTGTTGAAGACTAAGATCAATAATGATTCGTATAATAATTGTAGAACGAGGATAAATCAGACAGTTCCCTTGTCGCGACACCGAATGAAGAGGGACCATCCGTTACCATTATGGGCATGGAAACAACTGCAAGTTGCGAAGGAGGTAAGAAGTGGCAATGTCCAACATCTACAATTCCAAAACGCCAAGTGCCCATCCAGGAAGAAGCAGAGCCACTGCCGCAGGTAATTAGAGGAGAATGAAAAGTGACGCGAATTAATGTTAGTTTGGGATTTAATTACTTACCGAAATTTGAAAAAGTTTGTTCTAGCTTGTTAAATACTTGATACTATCTTAAACTGTTTTGTTCTATGTTAATATGATTCTTAATACAATTTTTGTCTTTCTTCATTGACCCGATTCGGTAGCCTTTAGAAATGATGGGGAAAGTTAAATAAAAAAAAATATTGCTACTATGTCATCAACAAAGACCCAATAAATATTATTTTTGAATATTTTTGACAAAAGTCTTTTGAAATCTTGTTTTATGCCGCGCGACTAATGCCAAGGCATGATTTAATTAAATAAAGGAGGTCTACTTAAACGCAAAAGTACAACAATTTTTTTCTCGGAAATGCGCCATTTTCTGTTTCTACACTTTTTAAATTAAATTAATTTCTACTAATTAATTAAATTAATTACATTAGCCGAGAAGGCGGTTTAATTTTTCCTAAATTTGGTTGGTTTTGGTTACTACTTTAGTGATGCCAAACGGCCGCGGAGGCAATCAACAGTGGAGACGGTCAACCGTCTAGGCAGTTTATCGTGGAGGCGGTTTAGTTTTTTATTAAACTTTGGTTTAAAAATGGTAAATTATGCAACAAGCGCGGTAAACGGCATTTGAGTCAGTAGTTTTGTCGTCGGTGAGCGGGGCAAGTTCGTCGCAAATAGCACGAATCAGCTTTTTATTTTAAAAATAAGACGCTTCGCGGATTGTTGTCTTACATGGCGGCATTGTTTTTCTATCGTGCTCCTGTAGACCACTATGGAACTTTCGCAAAATCGATGTAATTTGATTGTGAATACACCCTGTATAGTGTCCTTCACATCTCGTCGAACTTCAAAGTTCGATAAATATTAAAATTTGTACTATTAATTGCAATTTAAAATTATATTTTTTCAAATATCTTGCGTCCCCTGTATTATGAACGAAACCTTAAACTCTCTCTCGACACAGTTTACGATACTGTTCATATCAAATTATCTTTAAAAGTTTTTCATGTATCGCTAATAATTCACCCACAAAAGCGGAAATTTCTAGGATCTATTAGAATTTTTGCCCATAAACGACGTACCCTGTATATAATTCCAACAATGTTCGAAATAGAGGATATAGCCCTGGATCTCCTTAGTTTCCTGGTATCCGAATTTTTCCAATGGCAATGGTTTTCAAAAAGCTATTTGTTTTCTGAAACCATGCAATACGTGGTAATATTAAGTGACGTCATCGCTTCTAGATTGAGGACGGGAAATGGTGATTTTCATTTGGATTTTTTCAAATACCTCGATGTGATAGACGAAAACCGTAAATACAATAATTGCAGCCCTTGATACGGCCTATAACACTGAACGGATGAGCTACTGTCTGCACGAATTTTAATTTACGGTTAATAATTTACTCTCTAAAAGAACAATTTTTAGGGTCCTTTAGATTTTTGTCCATAACTAAAACACCTTGTATATAATCCAAAAAATGCGTGAAACAATAGTTATAGCGCCGATCGGATGAATGGCTTTGGAGGAAAAGATGTTTTTCTGGATTCCAAAATAACCACAAACAAGAATTCAAAAATTAAAAAAAAATACTTCGCTCCCAATTTAAAAGATCTAAAATGCGGATCCAGACTTCTACTTCTCTCCCACCTCTGAAGTCGGTAGCTGCAAATTTGAAGTACTTATTATGTTTTTTAAAACTCACGGAATATCGCAATACAATACTTAAAAACCGTAAATACAAAAGTTTAAGCTGTCTATATGGGCTTTATCGTCATGTAAAATAAACTGACATCTAAAACACAGATTTGAAATTATTGCCAATTTTTGCGGCGCACTCTGTATATTTTTGAAAAATTGTCAAGAATAGAAGTTTACGCATGCATCTTCTGGTTCCAGAATTCTTTCGGTCTTGTAAACGGTTTCTGAAAAATGGTCTTTTTTGTAGACCCTTGCACACGCGATTTTTTTTAAATACTTCCCGACCCCCCAGCCCCCCCATTTGTAATAGGTTCCGTCATGGGGCAAAGCTGCCAAATATGAACTCGATTGCTTCAAATTTCGGCCACTTATCTTGTTTCATAGCAAGGTCCAAAAAACAGTCGAAAATCGCGGCGTCGGAGGACGCAAATTTCAATTTTGTGGCTATAGGGGTTCGAAAGTTATTCAGGAAAAACCAAAAGACGAGAACGGAGAACGGTGATCATTTCCGTACCGTAATTGATTTAAAAAGTTTAGCAAACTTGTTGCATAGTATACATTTTCTACGACCGTTAGTTTTTGCAAAATAATATGAATACATTCACTGAAATAACCGTCAGAATTGACAAAATTCAAGCCATGCATTAAAATCTCCGAAAACATCCGATTGCTCCAAAACCGGTACAGTAATATGCCGGAAATGTCCGTGAAACTCACGACTTAGGCATTTCCAGGAAAAATTTCTTGTATTTTTGTGTTCCTGTAGATTTCTTTTATATAAATCAATAAAAAAAAAATATGTATCGGATTTCAAGTAAAAGAAAGTTGAAAACTAACGAATTATTTCTTTTTAGCAAATATTTTTGGAAGCTGCCCTTCCACCGCAATCCCAAATTCTCGTCGCAGACTCTGCCACCGAAACTGAAAATAATACCGACGAAAATGCGGCAGTGATTCTTGCCGGTAAAATGACCTTATCTGTTATTAGTTTCGATTCTGGTAAGTACAAGCAATAATAAATTTGGTTCCAAATTTGCGATTTGTTTTAAAGATTTAAAGTTGATTTGTTCTAGAATAAATGAGATTTAATCTCGACAACATGTAAGCGTGCTATTCTTAATTGTACGGTTCAAAAACTAATCAATAAACATAAAAATTTTATTTCATGAATTATTTTATTGAAACAATAAAAACCTAAAAGAAATTCTAAAAGAAAATCAAGGGGATCATCACACTGCAAAGGTATGAACTATGCGTTTGTTTGATAGCTACTAATTTTACTAAGAATAATATCAGGGCGACTGTGCCTGACCCCAAATAATATGCTTTCCACTTCGATTAATTTTTCTAACATGCTAATATACAGCGTCTATTTATTGTATAATACGCACGATTTCTTAATCTTAATCAATGGGTTTTTAACATTTTAAAATTTATATACGAATACAGTACACCAATATTCTGAAAAAGGGGATATTTAATGACGTTGGAAAATTGACTTTTTTGTCAAAACCGCTGATATAATTTTTTTATCAATTATAACTTGCAGAATTCTATTCAAATACAGAGTACATTATGAAAAACTTCAGTTTAATGCTATATTTTATCTGCGCACTTTACTCATTCCATTTTAGCATTTCCAAAACATAAAAGCTGCACAACATTTAAAAAAATACTGTGAGCACCTAAATCCGACAGAGTTCAAGCTATATATTATATATTTTAGCATTAGAAGCACGTGTTGTTTGAATGCATTATAGTTAATACACGAACCTTAATCAAGTTCAAGGATAAAAAATCTCTCATTTTTGCATAGATACGAAATTAGTGTAAAAGATTTCGTTGTAAAACATTCTTTATTATTTTTCCAAAATAAAGTACCTCTTGATTCATTTTTTCCGATTAAAAAAACAATCCTTTATTTCGTAGTGTTTTTATTAACTTATTTCTATAGATTAAGAGGTCAAGATATTTCGGAAACGTTTTTGATACATTTGTTTATGGAACATATCAACACAAAATGATGATTTTTTGAGTCTTGTACTCCGAAACTAACTACATATTAATCTATTGTACGTTTAAATCAACTTTTTTAAAATAAAATTAACATAACTATATTGTTAATACTTTTATATTTTACAACTAACTTACCCAATCCTCCCAGGTCTACCACAAATACATTTATTCTAGAAACAATTCAAACAAGTTGTCACATTCAAAACCGTTTCTGCCTTTTCCAGAAAACAGTATCGAAGAGTCGCCTTCTGCGAAAAAGGAGTATTTTGAGGAAGAAAGACGAACAAGTAGCAGTAACACGTCCGATGAATTCGAAAACATGGATGCCTCACAGCTGGAAGACCAGATCGATAATATTATAGAAGAGGCCAGGGCTATAGCGGCCGTCGAAACGTTTGACGAGAGCGATGAATTAGATAAAATCAATGAAGAGATGAAAGAAAATTTAGACAAAGCTGCAGACACAGAACAACAAGACGTAATAGAGGGAATTCGGACTACTGGCGCCTTTGAATTGTTTGATCCAAGCGTAGAATTGAACAAATTAAATAAAGAAATAAAACAAAATGTTGATAAAATCGAGGATAAAAGCCAGCAAGATAAGATAATAGAAGAAATTTGGGTTACTTCTACCGCCGAAAAGTTTGAGGCAAACGACGAAATTGATAATATAATTGAAAAAGTAAAACAAAACTTAAACAAACTTGAGGACCAAAAACAACAAGAAGTAATACAAGAAATTCAAGCTACTCAGATGGTCCAAAAGTTGGAAAGTAAGGAATTTGATAAAATCAATGAAGAACTAAAACAAGACTTAAATAAACTTAATGATATAAAACAAGACATCATAGATGAAATTCATGCTAATGAAGTCGTGAAAACATTTGATCCGTACATGGAATTGGACAAAGTTAATGAAGAAGTAATGAAAAACATAGATAGAATGGCGAGAGTAAAACAGGACGTAATAAAAGAAATTCGGTCTACTGATGAGGCCGTCGAAAAGTTTGACGCCAGCGAGGAATTGGAAAAAATAAACGAAGGAATAAAACAACACTTAGATAAAGCAAATAATGCAAAACAACAAGACGTTATGAAAGAAATCAAGGGGCAGCTTAATTTGAAAGACGATCTTTTAGGTACTCTTGGTGCCCAAGAATTTACATCGTTGGAAGATAAATCGTATGGCGATGCTAAAAAAATAGAGGAATTGTCATCAATTTGCGGAGAACATGTTTGCACAGGAGGAGACAGTCAAAATGTTTTAAAAGATATATCAAGCGACGATCAACAGTTAAGGGAACGCGCTGCAGCCCTGGTTCAAAAAGAAAGAGACTTAAACAAGGGCGAGCATTATTGTGAAAATGTAAATCAAAAATCTGAATTATCAACTAAGAATGAAGATTTGACCAACTCGATTTCTTTACGCGAACTGGAGTGGATAAACAAAGAACTGGAATTTTTGTCTGAGCATCTTGTGGAACAAGAAAACAGCAGGGATATTCAACCGCACAAAATCGCCGGCGATGAAAAAAATGTATTCGGCAACAGTAATGACCAAAAACCCATTAAACAGTTAAACTACATCCACATACAGTCACAACAGAATATTGAAAACAATAAAATTGACGCTGATCAATCTCGAAGGGCTGAAACTCATTTAACAGAAAGACAAAGTAACGACGAAGGTGTTACAGGAAAATCGATTCAAGAACAAATCGCGTCCACGGACGAAAACAAACCCGATTGCGAATTGCTGAACCCAAAGGTTGTGGAAATCCAAGACGACACAGGAAACGCACAGGACCTATTTGAAACTCTGGTGCCATATCGAGAAGAGTTTGACGTTAATTATGATTCGGATATCGAAAATGTAGTGGATGATGTCGAATATGTAGACGAAAGTGATGAACAAGAGTTGGAGGACGAAATAAGAAATCTAGAAGGATCCGAAGCGCATTTGGATAGAATAACAAACGGGAACTTGAGCGAAAGCAGCACCAAAGTTGTCGAAGTCAACGAAATTTCCGACGTAAGTTTCAAAACGTATTTGAAGACAATTATCTTTATATATAAGTTTGGGATGACTTTATTTTTTGAATCATCAGATATAGGTGTCAAGTTGAAATTTTGCCAATAATATAAACATGTTCGAATAAAAACATTATTAGGACATTATTTTGAGCCAAATGCAGTCACGTACTCAGGTTTTTTGTATAATGCTTCATTTTCCCACAAATGAATACAAAATTGAGCTTTGTCTTAGAGATATAAGGCACTTTTTATTTCTGTATAAAAAGTCCATTCTGTATAAGCTGTCAATGAATTATTAATTTTAATATTTTTGGATTACTTAAGTAAGACAGTGTATATAGCTTGCTGCTATAATATTTATGTAGAGATGGCAATGAACTTCATCGCATTTCACACATTAACCTGCACTTTGCGCCATTTTCTTGATTGATTTTGTCATTAATATGTAATTAAATTATTAGTATTAAAATTTCAACTCACCAAAATGCAACTTTCATTTTAAATTTCCAAATTTATCTTCTCACGTTTCTTTTATGAAACTTTTTTCATTTCTAATCTACCATTTTCTACAGTCCACATCGGAAAGCGAACAAGCAGATGAAGACGATGAAGAAATAGAGGAAATAATAGAATATGTAGATAACACAGACGAAGAAGGAGAGGAAATCATAGAAATATCCAACAACGGTATGAGACATAATCGCGAAAATGAAACGAATTAAAACGGTAAAATTACCTGTTTGTGTTAAATTAGCGAATTCGGGGATGATATAAACCATAGTAAAATAAATAAAAAGTAGAAATATCTTTTCTACCTGGGTGCGATTTAGGTTCGATAAAAAAAAGCATCTTTTAGCCACGATAGTCTAGTGCCAATAAATGTGATTTATTTGGTAACATTATACTTGTAAAGCGTATTTGGAATTAAAAACGATTGTATTATCCGAACCTATAGACAAATAAAAAAAATGCATAATTAATATATACGAATTTCTACACATACCTACCCTACAATTTAATAAGAAGCGAACAACATAATTTACCTAATGGGTCGAAGTGGGAAAAGGAGCAAAAACGGATAAGGATAGGAATGACTTTCGATTAATAGATTAATTAAATTGGAAAAAAAAAACGCTTTGAGATTCAAACAATTTTTATTCTTTGATTTGCTGTAGCGCCATTAACTTTAGATTTTTAAATGAGACACCGTTTTTTTTTTTCATTTTTCAATTGTTTGTTAACAATTAACCTATATTTGAGTTTGTGACCGTTTGTGCAAAATCGAGGTCTTTACTAACGAGTTATATAAATTGAATTAAGCATTCGGTTGTTAAATCCCACTGACAAAGCATTAATGCAAATAGAGGATACAACATTTTTTATTACACCCATAGATCATACTAAGAATTTAACCTTGCAACAGAATTGCGTTTGACATAAATTGTGTGTGGATAGATTCTAACCTCCTTTTGAGGTGCTATACATCTTGCAGTTTTTACTCTTACATTTTCTGGTCAGGCCACTCTTTGTCGCTTTTCTTTGTTTCTTTGTAATGTCCGCTTATCTCTTTCGCCATCATTTCCTACTAGAGTGGTGGAGGCCCTGTCTCCTGTCGCTTGGCAACCAGCAGAATATATAAGTCAATCTCAATATTTTGATGCCCCATGCAACACCGACTTAAATCAACTCAAGATCAAATCCCAGTTTTCAAGTAATCCGGATATCATGGCTGAAGCTTTCTGCAAATATTCGTCCTACAGTCAACCGCAAAACCTCATTTTCCATTACCAACCAAGGACCTTTCATGATTATGGAGGGAATTACACATAAGGTAGGAAATATTCACCCCATGAATATGGGCAAACTATTCCTTCAGGCTAGCATAGAGGCCATAACCAAAATCAATCGGAAAGGCAACAATAAGATTGGAATTGAATGTCGCACATCAGCATTAGCGAACTCGTTCTTAGCACATGCAAGTTTTTCAGCGGCCAACAGATATAAGTTGTATCTTCCTCAACATCTAGTCACATGTCGTGGCATCATTAAAGATGTCGGTGATAGCATCACTGATGACGACTTTTATAATGAAGCAAAAGCTTATATTTCCATGGGGAACTGTGAAAAGCAGGTAAAGATTCTTAACATTAGGATACTAAACCGTAGAAAAAGAGTCGAGGCAATGAACGGTTCTGTAGTCTTCCAAAAAGAGCCTTCAAACACCTATGTAGTCACCTTTGAAGGAAAGATCTGTCTACAACAATGAACGGGATGTCCAAAGATACATTAGTCCGGTTGTTGTTGTGTCTCAATTGCTGCCGTTTTGGTCACTTGAACAGTCAGTGTCGTGGTAAAACCAGATGCGCTTATTGCACATCATTTGTTGTTTGCCTGCGAAAAAAACGCCCTAGCAGCAAACAAAATGCCTTGCCCGCTGGATCGTTTAGATTCTCACAAAGTATGTTACAGATCTGACTGTTTAGTCAATCAGAAACCATGGTGACCCAATTGTAAGGATGGACACGCAGCCACCAATCGAGATTGTTCCGAGTATGCTAGGCAAGCGAAAATTAATGAGGCGATGCAGTTCCGCAACCTGTCATTTTATGAAGCGGCCAAGCTGTTCCCAAGAAGCTCGTCACAGCATTCGGGCTTCACAAGAAGATATGAAGAGTTCCCTCCAGTGAGGAATCAAAGCTCTGTGTTACCCAGTACCAGCCCTATGCTCGGAAGATCTTCATACGTTTCATTTGTTAAAAAGGATCCCAGAAAAAGAAAACAAACATCCCAAGGCTACGATCAAAGGGCGCATAAACAAGCCCTCCTTCCTTTATCAGCCAGAGTGAGCACTGGACCCCTCCCGGTTGTCCCTTCAGCAAGAGAGATGGTCGGATTCTGATATGGAAACCGGTCAAGAGTTCCATCCAGCCCATGAGAATTGGTTTGAAGACCTAAGAAATTTTGTTAGTTCCTTAGATAAAGAATCAAACTTATATATACTCAGTATCCTAGCCCAAGAAAATCACGAAGAGGCAGCTGGGGAGGTTGCTTTGTGATCTTTAACTTAACTTAAATTTAAAAAGCTAAAAAAAACTTAAAAAAAAAGTCAAGTAGCTTTTTTTTCCTTTAACTAGGCTTCTATCCTCTTCTTTAATTTTAAAACTTTAGACCCCATAACTCTTCAGGACATTTGTTTAAATCAATATTATTCATTGGAATATTTGTGGTTTGCGAACGAATAGAGATGCGGGGATTAGAATTATTAGAGATCTCTCTCCACATATCCATCTATTCAACAAAACCCATCTGAAGGCAGAAGTCAGTCAGTTTCTTTGGTTATAATGTTGTGAACACAAGTTCTATCGGCAAATCCGACAGATGCCACGTTGTTACTCTTCAGTTGCTTGATCTCTATGTCGTGTCCATCTACAATCCACGGAAATTAAAACTTCCACTTCACACGCTTCAGCAAGTATCAAAACTGCTGGTTGGGAAGCCCTTTATTATGATGGGTGGTTTTAACGCACACGCTCTGGCCTGGGGGTCGAGGATCCACAATGCTAAAGGTCAGTATAATGGTAATATTGTGTTAGATTGGGATCAGAATAATAACCTTTCATTCTAAACGATGGCTCGGCCACCAGATTGACGAGTCCTGGTGTACATAGTGCTCCTGATATTGCAGTTTGTTCACAACGGTTCTTTGAAAGTTTTAGAAAGATTAGATCGAGATTGGCCAGATTTCTGTGGAATTCCCTAACAGGGACCTCTGTTTCAATTTTAAATTAGCAGATTAGTCAAAATTTGCTCACGAAGTTTCACTGCACATATAATTGTCCTCTATTGGACTATATCGATTTCCAGGACCTTTTGTACCGATCAATTAACAATTCAGTCCCTCGTCATAAACCCTGCCCTAAAGTTGGTCTACCTTGGTGTTAAACGCAAAAGATTAGTCTTTCGTACTTTTAAAGCTGTCCCTACCCTCGAGAACTTTATTCAAGTTAAAAAGATTAGAGCCTAAACTAGACTAATTTTACATCAAAAGAGAAAAGCCTCATTCAGCTCGTTTTGCGAGAACTTGTCCCCACAGCTCTCCATCAAAAAATTTGGCAAGAGTTTTAACTTTAATAATTTTCATATGACCGTTAAAACTCAAAACCTAAATTTGGACCCCATTGAGCCTATTTTTCAACAGTTAACTTCAAACGATTTTTCTTTGGATGAATTCCTTTTAATCGTCAAAAATAAAAAAACACTTGTTCCTTTTAGAGCTTTACCTCATCTACCTATTCAGGCGATTTTATTCTTAATCAACTTTTTTAACCGTATCAAGCGAGCCGTTGCCTCTATTCCTCTAGCTTGGAAAACTCATCTTATAATTCCTTTTCTCAAACCGGGTCAGGATTCCTTGGTGGCATCATCTTATAGACCCATAAGTTTAGCTTCATGTGTGAGCAAAATCTTGGAAAGCCAGGGTAAAATGGCAGTTTCTTAATTAGGGCTTAGAAAGGTAAAAGGCGTATACGACAATCTCTCTATCTTTTCTTTCCAAATCCTAAGTAAATTATCGGACAGGCAGTATGCAACTGCAGTCACCCTTGATTTGGTTGGTGCTTTTGACAACGTAAATGTTAATCTTTTGATAGGTGTCATATTGTCATCTTCACACTGGGTCCTAACCTGGTTGAGATGACCCACCGTATTAATCAAACCTTATCAAACATTTTTCATTGGACACAGAGATATGGTCTCTCTATCAGTTCTGATTAGTCTGCAGCAATCCTCTTTCACAGGAAACGTGTTATTCCCGTAGCACCACTTATTCACATCCAAGGGGAACCCATCCCTTGAAAGGGAGAGGTTAAATATTTGGGAGTGGTTTTTGACTTCCAACTTAACTGGAAAACTCATATACAAAATATGATTCGTAATGTGGAGAGGGCGCTTAATATAATGAGGTACATTTGTGGTACTTGGTGGGGAGGTCATCCCTCTACCCTTCCCTGTATGTTTTACAGAGCTTTTGTCAGATCTCATTTGGACTTTGGATCAATATTATTAGGATGTTGCACTAAAAAGGCACTCTCTTCATTGCATAAACTGCAATATAGAGCTCTCAGATTAGCCTTAGGTTATGCACTCAACTCCTACCAACATCCTACTGGGCGAAAATCCGCACGCTTTAACAATAGTCCGGTTATCTAATCCGCCAGACAACTGTTTATTTATTTTAATGCTAATTACCACTTCTTTAGTCGTAGAAGCATTCAAGTTCTGGTGGAGGCTTTTCAGAGAGTCAAACCATTTTTTCCTCTGCAACTTTACCGTATTTTCTTTTTCCTCTCGAGACTATTAATGCTCCCTTAAAATTCGAAGATCTGGGTTTGAATAAAAATAACGATAATTCATTAATTTTTATAAATAAATTTAAAACAAAGTGGCCTTTTCCAGTGCACTCTTTCTACACCGACGCGTCAAAGGATTTAGGTGACCTCTCTATAGCTTCAGCTGAAATATTTGCAAACAAACAAGCCGTAGACTTGATAGATTACCACAATTCCTCTCTTGCAGTAGTTTTGTGCGATGCCAAAAGTGCGCTTCAGTCTATTATTAGGAATGGTACCACATCGAATGCAGATTGTTTGAAACTGGAAGCCAAACATAAGCTTATCACGTTAAGGAATACACCTGATCGAAAGGTCTTTTTATGCTGGATCCCGAGTCATACCTGAATAAGGAACAATGACATAGTGCATAGCTTGGCTAATGCCGCCCGACTGGAGGAACCCGTTCATCTTACACTCGGACATAACGAATTCCTTCCTAAACTGAAGAACAACATATAGACTGCTTGGACCCGGGGATGGCTTGCATAGGCCTCGCTAAAAGGTCTAAATTACTGTTCCCAATTTGAAAGTTCTCCTCGGAAACCTTGGTTTCATGGTTTAAACCTCAACTGCAGAGAAATTACTATCACTTGCCGCATGAGAAGTAATCATTG